TTTCTCCCTGTGATAGCATGTTTTTCGCTTTGTCTATTCAGCACACAGCGTGTCAGCGCGAGTGTGCGTGCAGGCGCACGCGTTTGTGTGTGTGACAGCCGATTGTGCAGCCACAAGAGTGAAAATAATAAAACACTGCCTTTAAAAATGTTGTTATATTTTCTTGCAGGGTTCCAGGACCAATGTTCACCCCAACCCAAAGCCGGAGGGAGTTCCACGTGTACACTGTTTAGCTGTAGGCTGTCAAGGTGGGACATGACTGACAGGAGCTCATTCCACACACTAATTGACAGAGTGGGAAAGTCTGAAAAATTCAAATCTTCTGGCATTTCATGGCTCCGTTTTCATAATCAGGCACGGTTCAACATTAGGAGCCATTTGTTTGTCTGTTTGTTTATTTTCGAATGCACGGGGAAAAAACTGGGGAAAAAATCGCTTGCGTTGCAGATTTTCTCCCTGTGATAGCATGTTTTTCGCTTTGTCTATTCAGCACACAGCGTGTCAGCGCGAGTGTGCGTGCAGGCGCACGCGTTTGTGTGTGTGACAGCCGATTGTGCAGCGGCGAAGGGTCGCTCACTCACCATCCGCAAATTGCTTTTTTTCAGCGGGTCGGTGCTGCGCCGTGGCTCCGCTCGCTGCGTGGAGGGAGCCGTTCCGCAGTAATGAGTTCGTCGGCGTTTGGGGCTCGCCCTGGGTCACTAATTCAATCTTGAGAGCGTTCTAAATAATTATTAATACCTGCTAAGCGTTAATAGAGCTTCATAGGCGATTCATCAAGCTGTCGATTTATTTTAGGGGTTGTGACATTTTGTGTCTTTGATTTCAAACACGTCCAATAAACGTGGCCAGCGTACAGACCTCTAGAGGGGAGGCTTTTTATTGCAACCTATCGAAAATGACCATTACGAATCCAATTGTTAATTTAGCTTTCCATTTGACAACCAATATAATGCATGATGACATAGGCCTATTGCTTGTTTGATTCTTGCTATATTCTTTCAAATAATTTCAGCATATGTAGGCCCACATCTAAAATGAGGTTTATGCATGTGCGCGCACAATGTACACATTTCCAAAGTGCCCTCCTGAGTGTGTGAAGTGCATTGTGTGTGTGAGAATGTGCGTCTGCCTCTCTTGTAAGCTGAGCCATAGAGACGCTGACTACAGGGGAATCTCATCGGCAATGCAGCCTAGACGCCAAAGAACACACTACCTCTTCCTCGCACTCTCTTCCTACTTGCCTGTCTCTTCTACCCTCTTTCATTAAATACACCTTGGTCTAGGGCTGCCACCATGCAAGATCAAACTTGTGCCTTTTGGTACCATACATCCATCTTGAACTTTACTGTCGCTGACAAACAGAAAAGCATATATTAAGGAGACACAAAGTAGGCATTGTCCTTATTGAGACTATTCAAATTCACTTGTGCATTAACAGATGATAATAAATAAATTAAAATAAATATACACCTGTCATTAAGACAAAAACACAGTGTGTGCATGTCAGTCTGGTACATGGCGGAGATAAAGTGATGGCTGTCACACACATTGTCTCCTCTGACACAGCAGAAATGAGAGGAAGTCAGGAAGAAGAGTGGGGGATGGGTTTGAGGGCACGCTGAGAATGAGCTTCAGTCTGGGACGCTGCCTAAGCTGAACAAGGACAGACAGCATCTCAGTGGCCACCTCTTGCTCTAACCAAACATGGCCTGTTGTGTGCATAACACAGAAACATGACAAATGTCATGTTTAGCTACTCAGTGTATGTCAACCAAGCTGAATTTCCGTTTGAGAAAGATACATGCCGGCCCTTCCGTCTTTTACTCTTAGAAAAAAAGCATCAGTGTCAGTTATATAGTAATGCCTGCACAAAAAGACAGCAGCAAACACAATTGCTCCCTTGGACTGGTCAAAAAAGAAAAAGAAAAAAAAGAATGATTTAAAAATTGCAGTATCAATAGTCAAGTGTCTCTAACCGTGAAGTAGCTCTGTTGAGACCGCTTGACTTTTGGCTGCTTGAAAAAGAAAGAAAAAAAACACTTCAGTATTAAACCACTGTATATAGAACAACATCCTTCTGTATTTACACATTACAGGAAAAAAAGTGATTTAGGAAAAAAATAAATTTTCTTTTAAATCAATCACTTAAAATTTGAAGAGAGACATATTCTTGTATGATTTGGGAAAATAATCCAGAACCACTCGTCAAATAACCTTTTTGCTTTCTTTAACTTGCCCAACAGATCCGCTACACTTTGCCTGTTTATTACCAGACAAACGTTTTACACATTACTGGTCAAAGCAACTCTGACAGAGAGTTATCCTGACATTTTGATTACAGCACTGTGTAAAAAATTTAGAACATTTGGGAATTAATCTCAATATGCTGGGCGGAATAGCTCATACGTGGCAGGTATGATGGAGAGCAAGTAATGCAACATTACGCCCACTGAAACATAATGAATGAACTTCAAGTCATGCCAATGAAAATGTTGGACTTTAATATTCAGATTTTAAAAAATCTCTCTCACACGCTTTCCTTGCTCGTTTCATCAGTGTGAATTAATGGTTATTTAAGGGAGAGCAGACAGCATATACATGTGTGATGGGTACAGTGTTTTGTAGATTCTCATGCAAGTGATGTAAGAGAAAAGAACCTGTATCTTGCCCATACATACATGTATTCAATCTGAAATCATCTGAGCCTTTGAAACTGGGTTGTCTCTGACACTCAAAACAGTGATAAAAAAAAAATGCCAGAAGCAAAAGAGGTTAAGTGAAACACTTAGGGACTAACCATCCAGTTTAGTCTTTGATACAACAACAGGTGCAGAGGCCAGAACACTTTAACAAAAAGTTCAGCCACCAACAGGCTGTTGTCATCTTCACACAAAGTACGCGTACCTGAGACAGGCTGAAACCGCTTGGAAAAAGAAACCCGAAATTAGAAGATGACTCTCCCGTTATATCACGTCAAACACATCTTGCACAGTCTTGTTCAAAGCATTTAGTATTAGAAAGCCGTTTATTCTGATATAATAATAATAATACACACTGAGGAACATTTGGTGTAATGTACTGTAATTGGGAGTAAGGGGAATTTAATAGGAAGTTAGTCAGTGATCATAATACTGTCGCGAAGTCTGGATAACCTTAAACAGTCAATTGCGGCTCAAACTATTAGCCTACAATAAATGAGAGTTTAATGTTTGCCATTGTAAAAACTATTTACCATAGCCATGTACTTTTAAGTTAAATTTTATTACTCGGGTAAACTAAACAGTGATAGCGACCGACCACAAAAACCCATCATCCCATTTATCATCGACTAAAAGACAAACACACTCAAAAGCATTTGCTTCTTACTGGTCCCAATATGAGACGTTTGCGAGCAATAATAGGAATAACAATAAAAAAAAAATAATGCGAAGAATATAAGAATTAAAAAAAAAATCACCCTATTTGCTTGTTTGTGTAGCCTACGTATCTTTCAACTTTCCTCTAATAAATAATTTCCTTTTAAACATTTGTGTAAACAAAAACGTTTTAAGGTTGTAAACGAATGTCACATTGCACCAAGCAATTATGAACTTGTTCATTTTACGATGAAAAAAAATAAAAATCACTAGGCCACATTAGTATTGAACCTCTATAGTTCATAGAATAAAAATTTATTTTTGCATATGTAAACATATAACAGATTGAACTTTTGAAATAGTATGATTCGTGTACCATATGAGGCACGGTGTTTTATATAAGATACAAATCGTTAGGCTACTTCTTGCCTTTTTTTATTATTTTAATTTCAGCTGTCATTTAAGCCTAATAGATGTCATTGGAAAAAAAATTGAATCTTGTTTTTCGTATAACAGTAGATCACATATTTTAGCCATGAAAAGTGATTGGAAAACAGGCTGATGCATTTGACAGGAGTTTTTATTAAACATTATGAAAACAAGATTCTGAACAACATTCCATTTCGAAACATTTTGGTTTGGATTTACTGACACGTAAGGACATTTATAATTTCGATAAATATATAGAAATTATAGGCTATGTACAGTTTTGTTTTCTTTTTTTTCATTTTATTTTCTTTTCTTTACGTAAGACAGCACACTTGACAGCACACATGGTTATGTAACCTCAAGCCGCTGTGCCTCAAATTAGACCAATAGACAGAGAGATTGCTTCATAACGAACTATATCATAATTCATAATTTAACCGAATAAAAAAAAATCAATGTTAACAGTGGTTTTCAGGTGAGATATCAAGCAGATACTAACCCAGGTAAAGGAACATACTTGGAGATCTTATTTTAGAAGTCTGGCCAATAGGAAACTAAGCATACAAAGGTAGGAAAGAATTTGAAAACTGACTTAAGACAATTTACGTGCATTAGATAATCCACTTTGGCAACTTCTTCATTTAGCCTGAACAAGATGGGCTATATTTCAACTTCAAATGCGCATGATTACTAATAGCGAAGTTTGCACACAAGCCCTCTATTATTGTTGAATTATCCGCATTTAATCTCTTGACATCTACCTGTAGTGTAATTCGGCATGGTCGGAAGCCTATTATCATGACAATATTTTAATGCTAAACAATAGGCAACTGCTTTATACAGAGTATGCTACAGTTTTATTATGTCACAATAAAAAGTTAAAACAACCATTCTTGCCCTATTAACGACGGTTGTCATATTTCTGAACTTAACAGTTTTATGTCGTTCATTATCCCGGCCATTAAGACAAAAAAAAATAAATAAATTAAAAAAATAAATAAATAAACATTATATATATA